TTTAACTTTAACTTTACTTTAACTTACTTAACTACCTAACGTTTAACTACTACTAACTAACGTAACTAACTAACTAACTACTAACTACTTAACTCTACTACTACTACTCTCTCTCTCTCTCTCTCTCTCTCTCTCTCTCTCTCTCTCTCTCTCTCTCTCTCTCTATATATATATATATATATAGGAAAAGTTTTCCCAACGCCTATAGACCAAAATGATCAGTGATTTCGCCTACCCTCATCACCGTCCAAAGTTCATCACACGGTCACGATTGTTCGGTAGTGCTTCATTTTTCATTTTTTTCTACAAATCAGAATGATCTGAAATTTAGAGGTGTATACATCTTAGTGAGGTGCATCTAATAAAAATATAAAAATAATAATTCGCAAATCACAAATTGAACAAAATGCCCCTGAAACTTTTTGGGGGTATTTTGGTCAATTTATTTCATGTAAACTAGTTTTTTGATATTTTTCGTAGATTCGCCTATTTTTTATGACAATACACTCCAAATTTCAGATCATTCTGATTTATAAAAAAAAATTAAAATTGAAACACTACCGGACAATCGTGATCGTGCGATGAAGTTTGGATGGTGATGAAGGTCGACGAAATCACTGTTCATTTCGCAAAAGAAACTAAGCTGGATACTAAAAGAATGAATTAATATAAGTAAGAAACAAAACTAAACATAGAATAACTAATACAGAAGACAAGACAATAATACAGAAGACAAGACGAAGCATAAAACTTACATAGATACAGAAGCCTGAAGACAACCTCAACTTCTTGGGAATATCTTCTTTTTAAACGGAATCACACAATACTCAAGCACTCATCAAACTCTCACAAATTTACAGACTCAGAAAAGAAGCTGGATGGTTGGATACACCACCAGATATACAAATAGAGAGAGAGGGAGAGAAAACTCAACACTAAGGCTAAAAACTCCGATGCTCACATGAAGGAGGCCTTCCTCCTTTTATAGCCAGCAAAGTTAGGCGGATTTGAAAAATCGTTTGAAATCCGCACCGACAGCCTTTTTCAAAGATACTTTTCTGCTACAGTGAAAAGTAGTTTCTATCGGTGGTGGCTACAGTGAAAAGTAGATTCTGTCGGTGGTGGCTATAGTAAATTTTGTCGTTTTCAGGGACACGTGTTCTAGATATGGGTGGAGTCGTTCTGGTCCCCCTATGAATTTTCTTTATTTTGAAGAAAGTTCAATACCTGCACAGTCATCACCGTTCATTGAGCTGTAGTCTTCTTGTTCGTCACTCTAAGTAGAAGTGGACATTTTTTCCACATAATCTTCTATTGCATTTCAGAGCTTTGTTTTAAGCTCTTCTTTGGATAGTTTGGGGTTTTGTTGATGTAATATTGCAACATATTCTGATATTTCCATTTTTTGTTTTTGAGGTGAAACTGAAGGTATAAGTTTCATTTTTATTTTGTCTGGATTTAAGGATTTATTTTTATAACTATCCCACCATTTGATATGTATTTGTCTTCTCAATTCGGGAATATAATCCCACCTGTCCATATCATCTTCTGAGATTTGATAATCCCATTTTAAAATCCACAGGACTTGATATACGGTCATAAAATATATATGATAGTCTCTTTTAAGACTTCGAGTATTATAATCAGAGAATTTTCTTTGTGAAATTTGTAGTTCTGTTGGGAGAATTTTGCTTGATGATCCCCATATAGAGAACCAATTTTTAAACCAATTTGGGAATTCATTTGGCTCAGTTATTTTAAACTGAATATACCGACTATGCGAATTTTTTGTATTCTGGTATGAAAAGACTTCATCCCAAGCTTTTATATATTCGAATTAATGATAAGATTCGATTTTTAAATCTTGTCGTATTGATGATCCTAGGTTTTAAAGGATTTAGTCCCCATTCTCTGTAAGAAATAACTTTTTTGATTTGGAATTTGGAGTTTGTTATTTCTGTATTATTGTTTCGGTAATGGTGTACTATAAATACCAATCATGTTTCCATAAGGATAGTTTCATACCATTCTCTGAATCTGTCACCCATATTAGGATGCATATGTTGCCTGAGATATAAGGCAGCTATTTCAGTCAGATTTTTCGACTGGTGATCATTTTCTATAATCAGCAAAGGAATATATGTTGTTTCCAAATATGTGGTTTTAGTACTAGAAGTTGAGTGCTTATTGGTATTTGAAGGGGACATATATCAATATCTTGTATTTGCCTTCTTATTAAAGCTTTTGATGTTGATGGTGATGCCACAGTTTTCCCCAGGCTAGGGATTATTTCCATTGATTGCTTTTGCTTTTGTTGATTTCTTCTGCCCTCCCTGCAAAAATTCTCGTGTTAAAAAGTCAGGCAAATAATTAGTACTGCCATTAATATGTCCTATAGTGAATTCAAAAGCAGAGAGAATACCTTGCCATCTTGCGAAAATTTGTTTTGAAACGAGATTTTTTACATCTTTCTGAAGAATGTCTTTGGCTGCTTTACAGTTAGTTTGTATGAGAAATGATTGGTTAAGCAGATCGCTCTGAAACTTTGTGACTGCATGGACAATAGCAAGTATCTCCTTTTTCACTGTTGAATAAATTTGTTGAACCGGGTTCCAGGTTTTAGAAGTAAACCGGACCAATTGCTCTTGATTATTCATTTTTTGGTTTAAAATAGCACCAAGTCCCTACTCTGAGGCGTATGTTTCTACTATTTTATACGCTGTAGGACTGGATAGGGCTAAACTTGGCAATTCTTTAGCCTTTATTTCAATCCTTTTTACCGCCTCAGTATATTCATTAGTCCATTCTGGAGGATGCTTTTTTAGTCTTTGAAATAAAGGTTTTGCATCCAGAGCCAGATATTTATAAAAGTCAGAAATATAATTCAAACATCCACGGAATCTTTGCAATTCAGTTTTTCCCGTAATCACATCTGAAAATTTAAATGCAAATTCTATTGCTCTATCAATGGGAATGATTCTTCCTTGAAAAATATTATGTTATAGAAATCTTATTTTTGTTTAGCATAAATGTATCTTTTTTGCTGAAACTACTAAGCCAGCGTTCTTTATTGCTTTTATGAATGTTATGTTTCCAATGTTGATCAATTGATTCTGAGAAAACAAGTACATCATCAATATAAACAATCATAAATTTAGTATATGGATTAAAAATTTCATTCATGATATTCTGAAATTCTGATGGTGCATTTTTTAATCCAAACGACATGACATTCCATTCAAATTGTCCAAATGGGACATTACAAGCAGTTTTATATTTGTCTTTTTCAGCAATCTGGATTTGCCAATAACCTGATTTAAGATCAAATTTTGAAAAAATACAGGCGTTAGCCAGTCTATCCAGAAGGTCTCTTTTGTTTGAGATCGGATATCTAATCCATCGTAAAACTTTGTTGAGTGGCTTATAATTTATAACCAACTTAGGAGCCCCTCTTTCTATTTCAGAGGCCTTTTCAACGTAAAAGGCTTAGCAA